GGGGATTGTGGCAGCAGCAAGCCAGGACGTTCCTTCTCGGGATGGAAGCCCGCTCTGTCCAGCCAAGCGAAGAGCACGTCTCGCACGGCATTGTGGCGAAGGGTACGCTCTCCTCCAGCGACGCAGGTTGCCGCATGGTGGCTATGGCGGTCCAGCACGCCATCACAGAGCGGACACCAGCAGTCGTGGACGGCATCTGGAACTCCCAGCCGGAAGCGCAGCTCTGCCGAGAAAACAGCTGGCTCAAGTCGGGTACGCCCGGACGGGACAGCCGCAAGGAAAGCCCGACCGCCGAGGCCAGCTTCGGAGTGGAGCACAGCTTTTCCACAAGGCTCGCTTGCGTCAGTTGCACTTGCCAACTTGCGTTGTCCAGCCGCTCAGACAAGTCGTGCTGCTTGGCCGCCAAGGCCGCATCAAGGGACAGGCTTTTGTCTGCAGGAAGGTCTCGGCACATAGCCTGCAGTGCTCCCATCACAGAAGGCGACGCCCGAACAGCAGCGACCGAGAAGGCGCAGTCGATGTCGGCACAAGCAGCAAGGCTCGACCCCAGCGATGCCAAGTAGGCAGCCGGCGCATGGGTGAGGCAGGAGCGCAACCCAAGGCCTGCTTGGGCCACACCTCGTGCAGCCTGGGGCCATTGGGCCGCATTCAAGTGGATGCCAGTCAGGTCGCCGAAGCATCTCTGCACCAGCCCATCGAAGGTAGCCAGGGCAGTGGCTTGCGCGCAGGGCGGATTGCATCGCATGCTGTGCACCATACGACTGAACCCAGCGCAGGCGCGAAGTAGCCGCAGGCCAACCTGCTGGTCTTCCAGCTCAGCCACCGCTTCAAGCAGTTCGCCGGCCTGGGCAGCTGGCAGTGTGCTCACCGATGAAGGCGTCGTCACCAATGGCTGCGCCCAAAAACTCAAAGTTGTTAGTGAGAACCCGGCTGCTTCCATCCGGTCGCTGCAGCAGGGCATCCGGGAAGTGCGGCTGCAGGAGCGAAGCTCTGGGGTTGCTCAGCACTACCAACTCGCACTTTCCAAGGTTGAGTTCAAGGCCGATGTCAGCAGCGCGTCGTTGGGCAAGCTGGAGAGCGGCTCCCAGGGCCGGAATATCACCAGCAAGTACGCCATCGTCCAGGTAATGCACTGCCAGGTCGACAGACCCGCCACGCAGTTCACTCGCCAGAGGTTGCAAGGCAAGAGAGAACAACAGAGGACCCAGAGGGTCGCCCTGTTGGACTCCGGCCGACGACTCGAGGGCACGCTCACGGGCTGGCGGTAGCACCACGTAGCCCAGCGAGCCAAAGACGGGAAGTGAGCAGTAGCCTGCCGCAGCACTTCCTCCCGGCTCACACAGTTGAAGGCATTGCGCAGGTCGAGCTTGAGGATGGCCTTGTGGGTTGAGCCCGCATGTCTGTAGCTCCAAGCTCGCACGGCATGCACGGCTTTCTCCGCTCCTCCCTTGACAGCCACGCCGACCTGAGCCGGCCAAAAGAAAGCCCGCGCCTCGTCCTTGACAGTAGCCATGAAGCACTTCCCCGTGAGTCGGTGGAGCAGTTCACCAACGGCAATGGGCCGGACTCCACCAGCAGGTTTAGGCAGAGCCACAAGGCTAGCGCCGGCCAACACCGGAGCCACGGCAGTAGGCGCACGGCCTTGAGCGAGCAACTCCACCACCGCAGTTAGCTGGGCGACGAAGTTATCAGTGCCTCCAGCAAAGCAGGCATCCCGCAGATGTTGCACTCGGAGACCGCTTGGTCCCGGAGCCGTTTCTGCCGGGAAAGCCCGCAAGCATCGAGCGACGAGCTCCGGAGCCATGCAGGGAGCCAGCGGCAGGTCTGTGATGGCCGGCACTGCAGGTAACGGGCGGTGAGGGTGGAGAGCAGCAAGAGATCTAGCAGTTTCCTCAGTTTGCGGGCAAAGGCCCTTGGACAGGAGAGCCGCACAAGCTTTTCGGTCAAAGCCTTCGCGCCCCCAGCTAGTAGCGATGTCCCTGCGCTCCTCTGGCGTCAGCGGTCCATGGCGACTGGCTCGGCAGCATGGGCGGGACTCCCACAATGAGAGTCGCTCCCCTTCCTGCCATCGTTGCAGTCTGTCCAGTGTGAAAGCGGCCGCCGCTTTGCGGTGCCGTCGACCGCCTCGCCCAGGAGCACAAAGAACGCACTGCGGCAGCATCAGAAGCTCCAACCAGGTTTCCACACTGTTGTGATGCACCACAGCAGCAAGGGCTCGAGTGAGCACCTGATTCCAAGCATGCCGCGCGGCCAACGGCACATGTCTGAGAGTGCGCGTGCGGCCTGCCTGGATGGCCTCAAAGGAGGGCAACGCCAAACCATCAACGTCCATATTGTCAGTCTGCACGGCAGCAGCCCGGGCTTCAGGCCGGCAAGTTGGGTGCACACCATGCCGTTCTGATACACTAAGGCCACAGACCGGGCAACGGATACGGCCTCGGGCTTGCATCCAACCAGCCGGCACGTCCCCTTCCAGAGTGCCCGCGAGGTGGGCGTCGATGTGGGCACGCATAGAGGCTTCGTTGGCCCAGCCCCGGGCGCGAGCAGGGTCTTGAGCATCGGCAAGCGGGGACAGGGCAATGAACCTGCCCTTCCGGCAGCCCCAGCTGGAGGCGGAGCAGGGGCAGAAGCTCGTGGTGATCGTTCTCGGCGTGGGCGCTCACCCCCGACAGGCGTACCGGGCTCAGGCCCCGGATGGCTAGCTTCGCCCGCCCACCCGCTGCCCTCTCAAAGGCCAGCCAGACCACGAGGACAGCCGTGGCTGCCGCCGCCACCTGGCCCGCTGCTTCGCGTAGAGGCGTCCTCGGGATCGGCGCCATGGATCTCCACAGTCGCTGGCCGCAGACCCAACAGGGGATCCCATGACGACGACGATGGAGGAGCCCCTGCATTTAGGAGTCGGGTCAAGCGGCGCCGATGCTGCCGACCCAAGCTGCCAAGAATGAGTTCTGCAGCAGGGCGGCTGGCCTCCCAAGTCGGCCAGATGGTTGTGCCCAGCCACCACAAGTCCCAGAGCAGTCGCCCCGGGGAGGGGGCCATGGCATTAAGAGGTGCATCACTTTGAAATCTCCAATGTTTTACAGTGCTGTGCTGTCCCTAGCTTTTGGCTTCTGGTTGTGCAGAATTTACGGACAGTACAGTACTTTGAAATCCCAATGTTTTAAATTGCTGTATGTCCCTAACATTTAACCTCTGGAGAAGCAGAGTTTAGGACAGCACTGTTGAAGTCCCAAGACTCAAAAGTACTGTGCTCTCCCAAAAAGCTTGGCTTCTGGAGGGGCAGACTTTAGGGACGGCGCCGCACTTTTCAGGTCCCAGGGTTCTAAAGTGCTGTACTGTTCCTAAAATAGACGATCGCAAAGGAGACATGTGATCAAAACTGTTGGATGCACATTTGTTTTGCGCGTGAAGCCTGTGTTTTGCCATTGTTGACTCTAAGGAGCAGAAGCTGTCTTACTTCGTGCTCAATGGGAAAACAGAAAGAGCAGCTCTCTGATATCGTGATATAGCATATTTCCGCCTTATTCATAATTGCAAAGCTGCAAAACAGCTCTTGTGGATATCAGAGAATTCTTTTAGACACAACCGGGGAATTGCTACTTTGGCAAACAGAAATACGAAAGACTTCTTCTCACCACAATGGGAAGAGAGCTTTCTATCTCACGATGAAAGCATGGCAGCTCTCTTTCTCTTGACAAGAAAAGAATCTTGCAAGCAGGACCAAGGAAGTTCCTTTGCGACAGATAAAGACCTTCGAACTCATTGACCGGATCTCCATTCGTCTTCCGAAAAGATATGGCGCAACTCCCTTAGGCTCGCTGTTTGTTTGTTGTCCAGAAAGTGGCAAGGTCCCTTTTTCACATGAACTGGTGCAGCAGGTTTTGTTTCAGTGCAGAACGTAAATGCATGCGGGGTTTGCTTTTATGACCAGCTGTGGGGTCGATCACAGCAGCATCCCGCAATTCGATGAAGATATGAAGGGCTTTCCAATTTCCCTTCGCACTCCCACAAGTGTAAGCATGGTGAGTTTATTCTGTTGATTCTTGTCATGAGATAGGGACGCTGCTGTTGAAAGATGGAAAAGTAGGACACAAAGGGGCCATGCGTAGATCCTGGTAGGGGTGCGAGCATGCATATACATATACCTTTACATATACATGTACATATACATATACATGTGTATATATATATATATGTTATTCATTCACTCATTCATTCATTTATTCAGTCATTGATTTATTGATTCATTGATTGATTCATTTATTCATTCATTCATTCATTCATTCATTCATTCATTCATGCATTCGTTCATTCCGTTCATTCCATGCCATTGCATTCCATTCCTTTCCATTCCTTTCCATTCCATTCCATTCATTCATCCATCCGTCCATCCGTCCAGTCATTCATTCATCCATCCATTCATCCATCCATTCATTTATCCATCCATCCATCCATTCATTCATTAGTTGATAAATGCATGTATATGTGTATGTATTTTTGAATGAATATCTTTATTCATTTTTCATTTATTTGGTTAAATATTTCTTACTTTAATTTCGTTAATTTTATTTGTACGTATATGTATATGTATGCTTTATACATGTGTATATGCATATATACACACGCGCCTACGTACGAACATGTGCACGCGCATTCTCTATTAGTATGTCTATACATTTTGTGTTTTTTCTTTTGGTCTTGTCTTCTTCATCTCCAAGCCTCCATATTCAGCACGCACTGAAAGATAGGAGCGAAGCGAATCCTGGTTTCATGGTTGTTTCCCTGCGTTTTTGCTTAGTCAATTGAAACAAAAGGTGGAAACAAATGCACGCGCTTGTCTTTGTTTTCTTAAAGCAAAAACACAACACAAGCCACTCGCCTGCGAACGAAAGAGCGAAAAGGAAGTGAAGCATGCTTTCATTATTTTCGTTTCTTTTCGTTTGTTTCGTTCCTTCCTTTTGCTTCCCTTCTCCTTTCCAACTGCTTTGCTTAACTTTGAAGTAATGAACAAAGTGAATGGAAGCATGAGTTAAGCAAAATGAAAGGAAAAAGAACAAAGAAGACAAAGAAGAGAACATAGCACTCATTTCCCTTCTTGTTTGCTCTTTGTCTTGCACTTCGTTCTCTTCACTTGTAAAAAGGCAAAGCACAAAAAGAGATGAATGAGTACTTTTGTTTGGTTTACTTGTTCAATCCGTTCGTTTGTTTTGCGTTTTCGTTTGCTTGGGAAGTGAACTTGCGAAAAGGCACAATAAATGAACTGCGTGCAAAGTAAGGAACCAACAAGCCAAATTTTTAAACGAAGAACAACACGCATGTCTCTTTGTTGCATTAGTTTCAGTAGAAGAACGAAGGCTTGTGGTTCTAAAGGAGGAGATCCTAAGAACTCTATACTAACTGTGTAAGTTTCTCTGTGTGTCCAACCATTCTTGGCTTGTTTTCTTCTCACATGCAGTCTGATGTCATGAGCTGGCGAACTCCATGCGTCGACACGTCTCCGAGACCCTCAGCCCTCAGCCCGTAATTCAAAGCTTGAGGCCTAGGGTTGAGGGAGTCAGGGGTCCTCGGCGGCTCGAGAGTCCAGAGTTCAGCAACCCTGCGTCACTGCTCATGACTACAGGACGGATCAGAGCGGTGCGCATGAAGCCACTGATAGCAGGAGATGCTCTTCTCATTTTAGGAGCTAACCTTCCAATGTCCAAGGTTCAGGTTTTTTCAGGGGTTTCGGGTTTTGGGCTGCTGTGGGGCTTGGGATCTGAAATTTGGGCGTCCAGACTTTGGGGTTGTGGCAAGATTGCCAGGTCCGTGAAGGGGAGGGGCTGTCGTGGGCTGGCGGGTATTTCTTGCCATGTTGCTGGAGTTCCCTTTCCCGGAGTCCCTGCTAGCTCCGGTCCGTTTAGAGTTTCTAGACTCCCTAAACCCTAAACCCTAAACCCAATCTGTGGGGTTTAGAGTTTCTAGACTTCAGAGTTGACGGTTCAGGAGTTCTGCAAGTTCTTGTGGACGTTGTCCAGCCAGCCCGTCGAAAGCCTGCCATCTCTTCTCCCTCGGCTTGTGGCCTGTCTCGAAGCAGACGGGGCCTTGCCGTGCCACTTCAGATGCAGTTTCTCATCGCTCCTGCCTCTCGTTGGTTTGTGTTTCTATGGTTCTCACCCACGCAGCTTGGAAGTCTGCATCTCTTCTCTCCCTGCGTGTTCTGAAAAGCATCTCGGGTCATTGTACCACAGATCCTACTTCTGCATCTGTAGAGTTCCCGAGCGGTCTCCTGCCGCAACGTATAACGTGAATCTGTCAAAGGCCAGAAGTTGAGTCGCTGCTGAAGGGTCGGCTCTTGTCTCGCCTTGACACACAGAAGCTCAGGGCACTTGGTAGGTGAGCTTCAAGTACGGCTATAAGTAGGGTATGCATCAGCTGCTCAGGTTATGACCTGCTTGCTAAGTCCCCTGATGTAGCTTGCGCCCATCCGAGCCGGCGGCGAGCATGTAAAGGCACCCCAGCTTCTCTGCAACAGGAGGCGAAATCTGGGCAGCAACAAGACTGTCGTGGAAGAGCGGCTGTGGTCAACATGCCAACGCGATGTGGGTCATAAATTCGCGGCGGTTTTGCAAAGCCGCCCCAAAAACTCCTACCTGCTTGAATCTGATCCCTGCACCCGCTGCAGAACAGCCCCTTCGTTTGAGTTCTTCATTTTCCTTTGTGCAGGTGTTGAACCAAGAGCGGCAAGACGGGCCTTTTGGTGGATTCTGGTGGCATAATTAGACCACAAACCTCTCGCTCCAAGCCGCCCGAAGCAAGTAAGCTGCGAGAAGGCTCAGCCCTAAGAAAGCCTTACCCGTGCAGGAGTCCGAACGAGCCTATGGCGGAGATCGTAGACCTGTCGCTGCAGAAGCTGCGTCATGACAACGAGGCCACATGTGATGAATGAATCAGCAGCAAGCAGAAGACGAAGAATGGCAGCAAAGAGCGGCAACAACAGGAACAGCAGCAAGAGCAGTCATGATAATCGTGGTAGCAAGCGATAGCACCGCTGAATGCGAAAAGCACAGTGGTAGAGTTTCGGAACCAACGCAAGAGGAATCCCAAGTACAGGCGCTGGGGGTGGGCTACACCTTGGTAGGGTGCCGTACATTCTGAAATGCCCATGTGGACAGTGGAAAGGTGGATGGCATCGACATCAATATTGCCGCCCGGCTGAGTTCGGTCTCTGAACTGGCGCAGAGTGCACAAGCCGAGTGATCGGGTTTAGGGTTTAGGGTTTAGGGGGGTTTTCCCACGAAGAAGCTGCTTGAGGAAGCTGCGAATGTCAAACCTGAAACCCCGCGCGACACTCCTGTGAGCACGGTGCAAGTTGCCGAGGAGAAAGTTCACACCAACATGGTGCTCCCCAGTACCTACTCAGTGTCACTGGTGACGATGCCCGGCTCGATGTGCGAGTTTGGAGTAGGGGGTCTCCCTTTTCGGGGGCTTTAAAAGAAGACGACGAACAGTAAGGATCCTCCCACTGAAGGGTAGTCACGATCCCACTGTTGGGCTCGTCATTTTCTGAGATGCGGCTGTAGGCGGGCTTTGGTCGTGTTTCTATGGAGCTCAAGCTGCCAGGACCCCACACAACAATCACGCACACAAAGAGCCCAACACCCACCCATTACATCCTAAACCATCATCGGGATCACTCTGTAGTTGAGGCTATAATTCCGTCATGCACGGGAGTAGACTTCTCATGTGCTTTGCTCCAACCTTCCTCGGCTGCCAAGGACCACCGTGGCTCCGACCAGCTACAGCCGTGGTGAGTGCATGTGCCAGCAAGGCTTCTTCCTGCATTGGACCACCAAGGCGAGGGGTTAGGGTTTAGGGTTTAGGGATGAGCAGCCACAGCAACAACGATGGCAGGAAGCAGTTATGGCATCCTCAAGTTCTTGAACACCCCTCGACAACCGTAGTCTTGAAAGCATCATGCATGATGATTGAGGACCTGTCTCAGGGGACCCCATGATGAAGAGTGGCACACTCGGGATTCCAAGAGGGATCCTTATGTGGATGTCTACCCACAATGAGCTTAGGGGGGGAACCCTACAGTAGAAGCCAGAAAGCTGGAAAATGATCATCCTCCTGCCCTTCGGGTAAACGACAGAAAATGCCAGCCTAATCACCTTGACTAAAGCCGAAAGCCAAAGCACGGCCCCTAGACAAAAAACCCAGCTACCCGGTTACCCTGAAGTTCGCCATGTGACAAGATAGGCTGAGCCCTAAAGCCCCAGCGACAGTCCCAGGGTGTGGGGCCGTGGAGGGTTGAGGGTCCAAAACCCCCCGAGACCTTAAACCCTTCAAGAGACCCCTTAGAGTTTAGGCCTTCGGCTCAACCCCAAACCTCCAAAACCCACCAAAATCCCCACCACTTCTCCCCCCCCCCCCCTTTAGCCCCCTTTCCCCAAGAGGAGTGCGTTCCGCAGAAGCCCTGGGGCTTCGAGTGCGGCTTCTACCCCCGGCAGCAGCAGAACCGGGTCTGTCAGGCCTTCGGTTTTGTGGAGGGGTGTTTAAGGGGGAAGGGTTTTTTGGGTGGTTTTAAGGGGGGGTTTGGGTGTTTTAAGGGGTTCAAAAAAAGGTTCTGGGGTGGTGTTTTTTTGGTTTTTTTTGGGGGTTTTGGGTGTTTAGGGTGTTTTGGGATTTCGGGTCCCTCCTTTCTGAGTTCTGGGACGGCTTGTCTGCGGCTCTGGAGGCTTCGGGTTCCAGCCGTGGGAGTGTCGAGACTTTGGGGTTCCAAAGGCTGTGCTTGGATTCCATCAGCTGAAGGCAGGCATAGGGGAGCGAGACGACGGCAGGAGAGCAGGATTTTTGTTTCTTCTTTTCTTCTTTCCGGGGCTTTGAAAGCCTCTCGCTGCCTCGTTGAAAAGGATCTCTTTGGGGCCCTGCAGGATGCTTGGGGGATGGGGCCCTTGCCGCGGCCGGCTGAAGCCTTCGGATTTCTTGAGAGCAGCCCTGTGTCCCTTATAGAGAGGGCCCCTAAAAGAGAGAGAGAGAGAGAGAGAGAGAGAGAGAGAGAGAGAGATCCTCAGAGCCCACCCAAAGCCCGCCCCTGTGCCGTGAGAGCTCTGGAGGATGGCCTCAGCTGCAAGACGCCTCTGGGCTTCAGTTCTGGGGGGCCTTCTTTTTGGGGGAAGTCTGGCAGGATCATGGTCAGAAAATCCCTGGTTCGCGCCGAGGCTGAACGTCACTGACACCTACGAGTCATCGGGCAAGTACAAAGGCCGGGTCTGCTCCAAGCAAGGGACTCCTCAAAGAGATTTTTCGCTTGTCGTGGGCTTTCCTTTTGGAGCCCAGGCTGGGCGTCCACAGCCCCCGCCACCTGCGAGTACTGCACGGCCGAGGACGACTGCAAGACCGGCAGTGCCAGGTGGGCAAAACCAAGAGCAAAGGGGATGGCGTCGTACTTTTCTTAGCATTTTCAACTGCCGCAGGCACTTGAAGGACTGCGTGCGCACGGGGGACATGAAGCGCATGGAGGAGCTGCGGAGTGACAGAAGGGCCGGAGACGTGAGCGTGATAAGTTGGTGTGGGCAAGAGGCAAAAAAAAAACATGTGTTCTGAACCCCTAAACCCTAAACCCTACCCTAAACCCTAAACCCTAATTTCCAAACCCCCTAACCCTAAGCCCTAAACCCTAATCCCTAAACCCCAAAACCCCAAAACCCTTAAACCCCTAAACCCTAAACCCCCCAAAAACTCAAGAGCAACACCACGCGCCGACCTCCGCCTGCAGGCGCTCGCAGAGTTGCCGCAGGCGGGAGCCGCCCTCCTCCGCCTCCGCGGCCTCGGAATCCACCTGAACCGGCTTAGGTTAAGGTGGAACTGTTCACTCTTTTAGGGGTTTGGGGCGCTGGGTTTGGGGTTTAGGGGTCTAGGGGGGTTGGGTTTAGGGTTCAGGGGTTTTGGGGTTTAGGGGTTTTGGGTGTTTTGGGGGTTTTGGGGGTTCCCAAAAATGGCCCCCTCTCGGCCTCCTCCGGCCCCAGGTCGGCGGGCCCTCGGCTTCGGGACTCTGGGAGCCTTCTTGGGGGGCGTTCTACCACATGAACAGGGCTTCTGGCTTCTGGTTTAGGGCTTAGAGGGTTTAGGGGTTTAGGGGTTTAGGGGTTTTGGGGATTTTGGGGATTTGGGGATTGGGGGTTTTAGGGTTTAGGGTTTAGGGCTTTAGGGCTTCAGGGCTTTAGGGCTTCGGATCAGACTCTACGGCCCTATCGAACCCTCTACAAATCCCTTCTGAAGCCCTGACAAAAAACCCTGCGACACCCTGAGGCCAAGCTCCGAACCTGCGTCCGGAGCCGGAGATGGGGCCTTGTTGAAGTTCTCGGCACCTCCGAGTTGCAGCCGCGCTCTGCAGGCGGTTTGGTTCAAGGTTTTTTTACAAGTGGGGGGCTCTTGCAGGTTTTGAAAGACTTTTTATAGGGCTTTCTGAATTTTCATAAGGCTTCCACCAGTACCTTAACCCCAAATAACCTACCGTTTTATAAGGACTCATATCCAGAATTCATCATAAGGAACCCGAAAAAGGGTAGGATTTTCAGGGTCCAGCTAGGAGCCCTGAACCCTAAACCCTAAACCCTACTAAACCCTAAACTGTGAGTTTTCATATGGCTTCTACCCGTTCTGAGAAGCTGGGGATGGCGGCCTCCGGAGCCGTGGGCCATGGCCATCATCGCACTCGCGGAGCCGCTGAAGGAGTTTGGGTCCGTGCCTGGCCAAGAGGGAGGGTGCAGGGTCTAGGGTTTAGGATGTGGGGTTTAGGGTGTGGAGTGTGGGATTTAAGATTTAGGCTTTAGGGCTTCATGGCGCGTGATTATCCGTCACATCGCACCACGAAAGATTCTCCTAATCGCTGGCCGCACCTCGAGCGAACTGCTGATCATAGTCCATTGAAGGTTGGGTCGCTTGGCCGCCGGGTGCATCAAATGCTCCCGTGTTGAAGCCATAGTCATAGCCTGCAGCGCCGTATGCACCAGGTTGACCTCAGAGTACGTCGCGGCAAAACACCAGACACTAATAGTCACTATGCCCCGTGCCTCGGACCACCCCAACATCCAGTACAAAAAACGGCACGAGACGCCCGGAATTGGAGAGGAAAGTGTGAAAACCAAGCACACACACATAACTTCTAGATACGGATATATAGATACGCAAGTACAAAAATGCAGCTGATGACAGTCGTATGTATTATGTGTGTATATATATATATGTGTGTGTGTATATATATATATGTACGTAAGTATGTATGTATGTATGTATGTATGGATGGATGGATGGATGGATGGCTGTATATATATATATATATAACCCTTTAGAGCATTGGAGCTTTCAAAGTGCTGTACTGTCCAAGAAGTCTTCCTGAGGTAAAATTTCAGGGACTGTACAGCATCTTTGATTTTTTGGAGCTCTAAAGTGCTGTACTGTCCTTGCATTCTCCCCCTCCAGAGACCAAATTTTGGGGACAGTACAGCACTGTAGTAGTAATTGTGTTGCACTGTCCCTAAATTCTGCCCCTCCGGAAGCCAGATTTTAGGGACAGTACAGTGCTTTAGGGTCCTGGGACTTTAAAAATGCTGTACTGTTCCAAAATTCTGGTCCTCCAGAAGCCAAATCTCAACCATTCCACTAATCTGGCTTCTGTTCGTTCACAATCACTTACTTCTACTTGCGATCGTTTTCGGCAACCAGAGCCTCGTGTGCAAAATGTTTTGTGTAAAGAGTTTGAAAACAAGCGATCAGCAAGGCAGCTCTTCTACAGAGAAGCCGATTTCACTGGTATTTACAGCACATTCTGCACATGGAGCAGTTAGGTTCGAGACATCGCGGTATGTCAGAGAGTGAAACAGATAGGGTGTAGATCTTGGGGAGGGGGGGCCATCCATCCATACGTATATATATATATATATAATTGTACATATATACATATATATATATAGGTGTATATATATATATGTATATATTTAAAAGTATATTTATATATGTATCTTTATGTGTGTATATATATACATATACACCTTATGATTCTTATAGTTATTATCTATCTATCTATCTATCTATCTATCTATAGTTATCAATATAAACATATATATATATCAGATATCAGGACTGTAGAGTGTCCTTCTGAAGCCCAGGCGCTTCCAAACTGCGCCATGCCCGCATCTGGAAAGCTGCCGGAAAGGCCACCAGCGAGTCCCCCGAAGTCCTCCGTGCTCATGCCCTGACCCTGGGCCCCCGAAGGGGCCCCGAAGGGGTCGCTGGAATCCCCTGGGTCGGAAGCAAAGCCGGAGGAGCCCACGCCGAAGCTCCCACCAAACTCCCCGGCGCGGTAAGCTGCCGCCGCCGCATCTGCCTCTGCCCAGTCGCTCCCTGGGTGGCCGAAGCTCGGTGTCATCGCCACCTCGGGCGGGACCTCAAATGTGTCGGGCTGTGGCTCCTTCTTCCGGCGACGATGCTTCTTGTGCGAGCTGCTATGGCTCTCCGGCACTGTGTCTGAGTCGGGGGGCGAGGGGGACACGCCTGACACACCCGAGAAGGTCCGTGAATTCTCCGTCGAAGCCGAGGGCGACCCAATCTGGAGCTCTGCATAGCGAACGGCGACAGCAGAAAAGTGCTCGTAGGCTGCCATGTCGCCCCTCTCCACAGCTTCTGCTGCTGCATGCTGCCACTGGGCCAGCATCGACTCGAAGTGCGCCGTGGCCTCCCCAGCTTCCGGCGAGCCGGGCCCATATTGGGCCACGGCGCTCTGCACGGCCGCCGCCAGGCTCTGCAACGCCGGCTCCGAGAGCTCCGAGTTCGAGCCTGGAGCCGACACCTCCACCCCAAAGCCGCCAAAGCCTGGGGTTTTTGAGGGCTTTTAGGGAACACTTCTAACTTCTCTTACCATAAAATGGAGTGTTTCTTTTATAGCAACTGTGAGGGTATTCTATCTTATTATGGGTAACTTGATTCAAGTTCTTAACAGCAACCGAGAAGCTCGAGCTTCCACCGCCGCCGCCAGTGCTGCCAAAGCCGAAGGCACCCGCATCGCGGCTAGCGGAGGGCTTCGTGAGGAAGACGTACTCCGCGGGGCCATGGGGAAAGCGGACGTTCTCCTTCGTCAGCTCCTTCCAGGCATCCACGATCTTCGCGCCTCCCGGGCTCCCGGCGGCCTCGTAGTATCGTCCCCACTTGTCTAAGAGCTCCAGGGTGATGGAAAGTATGGACTCGATGTCCTCCGGAGCTGCCTTGTTGGAGAAGACGGAGGTCGGGCGTCGCTTTCGCCGCTCCTTCTCCTGAAAGCACGAAGCACAAAACCGCTGGAGACAAGCAACACACGAAGCTAGCGGCCAGAGGTTTCGGGACCGAGGCAACCTGTGACCACCCCTGACTTCAAGCACCCGAACGGAGCCTTGGTCTTCTTCGCGATGTTAACGAAGAACTTCAGCTCCCTGGAGAGGGCTTCCGCAAGCTGGCCATCCTTTACATCCATCAGGAAGTCAAGCACCTCAGTCATCCGCAAGACGAGGAGGCAATGCAGATAAATCCGCGTCGACCCTTGCGGAATGCAGCTTTGATCTCTCTCCTTCTCTCTCCATATACATACCATATAGTTAAACATGTATACAGACATAGATATAGACACGTACATAACTCTGCGTATGGTTCTGGCGGTAGGACTAGTTTAGAGTTCCCCATCTACTCATTCACCGAAACTTGACATACTGATGGATTGATCTCGAATGACAGACCTCCATCTGAAGGCCATCTACATCTTATTCTGGGTTTAAAAGCTTAGGAAGGTCTCTACGGATATTATACCTGTGTTGAACATGCAAGCTTGTCGGACCAACAAGGCTCCACCTTGTGTTCGCGTTAGTAACCATATGGAGAGTGCTGTTCTCTACACCGTAGACCCTAAACAACACCCCCAGACCCTAAACCCTGAAACCAAAACCCTTACCTAAACCTTACGAAACCCCTCAGCCGCTAAACCCTCAACCCCAGAAACTCATAGCTAAAAGCCCCATGTACGAGTACCCTAAACTCTAATCCCCAAACCCTACAATCCCTAAACCCCAAACCCTATAAACCCTACAATCCCGAAACCCTACACCCTGTAATCCCTAAACCCTATAATCCCTAAACCCCTAGGTACCCCTAAGCGGAGATCCGCCCCCTCGCATCTTCTCTCAGCTCCGGGCTCGCATCATCGCAAGCTTGCCGGACGCCGGCTCGCTCCTGGGCTTCCGGGTGTGGGCTGGGCGGAGGGCGGAGAGGGTGGAGGGGTGGAGGGAGGGGGCCTAGCAGGGCCCTTTTCTTTTTTTTAGGGGTTTGGGGTTTAGGGTTTTAGTATATGATAAGGCAGCGACTATATTTTTTTTGGTGTGATAAGGCAGCTGCTATATGTGTTAGTAGAATAATGCAGCTACTATAACTGTCATGTTCAATGCTATGCAGTTTTAATATATCATAAGATAAAGTTCATTGTGATTCCTGTGGCTGCCATGGTGATTGCGATATCTGCCCGCCTTTCTCACTGTCATCCCTGCTGCTTTTGCCCCAACAGCTACAGTTAGTGCTGTTGTGCCATTCCGGCTTTGCCAACTCATCCTCTACCCATCGACGACGCGACGACTGAGGAGCGTGAGGGCTGATAAGCTTCAAAGAATCGAGGATGCCCCTGGATCCTCCAACTGCAAACAAATCCCGAACCCCAAACCCTGAACCCTACATCCTTTAAACCCTAAACCCTACACCCCACACCCTAAACCCTTTTGTATCCCCTAAACCCTAAACCCTAAATTCTTTGGCCAAGGCACGGGTCTTTCAGGCATCGCAAGCAACGGGATACGACGGCATTGCCCGCTCCCCAGCGGGACAGGTCGTAGAGCCTGCAAACGCTGCCGTGCACGTCTGCGCACTTGGGGCCACTCAGTGGCCACTCATCACTCTCCCTGTTCAGCAGATGGCTAGGAAAAAGCACGATAAGAGGGAGGATTGAGGCTGATAGTGGTGATGATGACGACGGCAGTGATGTTAGTTGTGGTTATGCTCTGCGCTGCTCCTGTCTGAAGTCGACGGTGCTGACAGTGATGGGGACGGTGGTGATCAGGAAGTTACTGATGCTATCGATGACGATGATGATAATGACAATACCAGTGATGATGATCACGGACGACGAGGACGTCCACGTTGGCAGCGGCAGCTTGCCGCAGGGAAGCGACATTTCTGCAAGCCAAGGTGCCGAAGAAGCTCTTGCTGCACGCTCTCCGAATCCAGCTGTGAAGGGCTTCTGGCAATTTCCTGGTCATGAAGGTGAGATGCGGAAATGCTGGCACCCGGCTAGCCGGCTAACCCCTCTTAATAGCTACTTCCACCAGGATAAGATCAGAGACCAGGTCGCCTTGATGATGTCTTCGAGCAACGAGGTGCTCTCCAGCACTCCAGGCGACAGGGGAGACCTTTCTGGAACTCTTTTTTTTTGGGGCGTCGGGTTCAGCATCCTTGCTTCGACCATCTCAACCCTAAACCCCTAAACCCTAAGCCCTAAACCCAAAGTTCTAAACCCTAAGCCCTAAACCCTAAGCCCTAAGCCCTAAACCCTAGACAACTCCCTCTCAGATCCTGGCCCACCATCGGAGGCCATGGCCCGGGAGTCCCATGTCACGGTGTGGTACAAACCCCAAGGGAACTTCGGGGAACTTTTAGGGCTTATAGGGTTTATAGGGTTTTGGGTTTAGGGTTTAGGGGCCTCTGGGTCCAAACTTGCACGCAGATGACAAGAGCATCGCCAGAGCGAAACCCTAAACCCTAAACCCTGGTGGAAGAGGCTGTTGACACGTTTCTCCAACTGCACTGTATGCCAGCCGATACTGGTTGCTGCGTCAGAGTTTCGGGACTGCCCCCAGCTTTTTGCCAGCGGTGTGTGGGACTCCCGTGAATTTCTGAGGGAGCGACCTTCGTTCCAGGTGCTCCAACCTCCACGAGCAAAGCAACATCACACAGCCCTCGAAAAAATTGGAAACACAGGGTCTCTGGTCCCTAAACCCTAAACCCGAAACCCTGTTGGCTCCCACGATTTCTGAGTCCCATCGGAGCTCGGAAAGTAAGGCCGCGGCTTCCGGTTGAGAGCCTAAGCTGAGAAGCCGAGACTTCCCCGATTTCCACAGCACGAGGCCGCCTTTTGGGTTTTTTTTTGGGGGGGGTTCTTCTTGTTAAGGGATGTTTTTATTTAAGCTACCATAATGGGGATCTATGGCAAATAATATGGTTTCTTTATTATGGTAACTTAAATCAAGTCCCCTAACAGGAACCCAGTTTAGGGTTTAGGGGGATCACCGAAGCAAACTGCTTCGCTTGAGAGGTGATTTCAAAATCACAGCATTGCAGGCCGCCGCTAGAATCGCTAGAATCACCACCACGATGGGCAAACACCTCCATTCATGACCCAGGTGCGATCCCTTCCACCTGGTAAAAAGCCCATTTCCCAAAAGAGTTGGGGGAGCCCTTTATACCCAGAGCCCCAAAACCCGCGACCTGAAAACCCCCTGAACCCCTACATCCAGTGGAAGCTTTCAGGCTGTCCGGGCCCTTGCCTTTTCGTAGATAGTACTGTTGATGATATAAATCCTGCATTACCTGAAGGACCCTAAAATATGGGAATTATGGTATATTCCTTATTATGGGCAATGCAGGAGCGTCCCAACTCCCCTGAGGAGTACGAGACAAAGGCGACCATCCCCCTAAACCCTAAAACCCTAAAAACCTAAACCCTAAAACCCTAAAAGCCTAAAACCTAGAACCCTAAAACCCCAAAACCCCAAAACCCTACTAACCCCTAAACCCTAAAAGCCTAAAAGCCTAAAACCCTAAAACCCTAAACCCTAAAAGCCTAAAACCCTAAAACCCTAAAACCCTAAACCCCGGGCGGCCGGCATGTTCTCATTTCCAAAATTGCCATAACCGGAGAGCTCGCTTCCACCTGCCCAAAAGCTCTTAGCTCGCGATTTGGGTATCCCATTTAGGGGTTAGAGCTTAGGGTTTAGGGTTTTAGGGTAGGGTTTTAGGGTTTAGGGTTTAGGGATTTGGGGTTTAGGGTTTAAGGATTTAGAGGGGTTTAGGGTTTAGGGACCAGGGATCCTTTCTTTTCTCCCTGGTCCCTGGGTGGAGGCACTGCTTCCGATCGTTTTTGTGCAGAGTCAAGCGTCTAAAGTTTCAGGCTATGCATACTCATAAGGCTTTCGATGGTCTCGTTCTGCAGCATGATTAACCCTTCACTTCACGCTTAAGTCCCCATGCCCAAAGCCCAACGTAATTACTGAAAGCGGCCTCTAAAATGATCCAGAAGAACTGTCCTTTCATGGTTCCTAGGATCCTCTTGAAAAGAGCTTCCAGCAAACGCACTCTTACGAACACCTAACATGAAATTCTGCAGGAAGCGTCCTTCTATGAGTATCCCTATACATAAGCCCCACATCTTATAAGACACTCTTGTATACGACCGTACTCTCAATGTCAGTAACACAAATGCCCCAATTCAGACACTAAGTTCATCCCTCAGACCTAACTTCTAACCCGCCCTACCTCTAAACCCCAAAACCCCTAAACCAAGAAACCCCAGGCTAGGCCCAGTAGCCCCTTAATAGTAAGGGTAATTATCCTTTTTTGTAATATTTGGTTTTAGTAAGGGAACCCAAAAAGAAAAAGGGCAAAAGGGTACTACTGGGGAACCTAGCAGAACACCTAAGCCTCCGAACCCTCAACCTCTCACATCGCAACCCCAAACCCCTCAACGCTAAGCCCCAAGTGTAACACGCCTCCAGCCCTCCTGCTACACCTTTTAGCCCCCTCACAGAAACCCTGATAGGAACCCTCGTCGGAACTTATGGGAATCCCTGAAGGATCCCATGGCAAAGGAGCAATAAACTCTAATCCCTATAAACCCTAAACCCTATAAGCCCCGAACCCCAAAAAACCTATACGCCCTAGACTCCTAGACCCTATAAACCCTAAACCCTATAAACACTAAACTCTGTAAACCGTACAAGCCCTACAAACCCCAAACCCAGATGTCAGCTCCGGGAAAAGCCTCGAGACCGACGACTCGTCCTTCCCATGCTAGGCCAAGCCAGTGCACGTACTCCTGGAGCGGGGGGGGGGTGGGGGGGTGGGGGGGTTGGGGGGGTTTAGGGTTTAGGGGGTGGGGGGGTGGGGGGGTTTAAGGCTTGTGGGTAGCTGGCCAGGGCTGGGGTTTCAAAGCAAACAGTCTTGGGTAGGCAGGATTCAAGCTCACTTCATGCAGGGGGCCCTGAATAATTTCAACAGGATTTTTGGGCTATATTACAAGATACAAGATAAGCCCGGAACCCTAAACCCGAAGGGGCGTTTGGGGGCCTTCCGATTGTTTGGAGTTGCGGGCTCTGTCAGGGCTGCTGGTGGAGGGTTGGAACTCCCGATTCGCTCTTTGAAGCCGGAACACATAAACAGCCACCGAGCCCTAAGCCCTAAACCATAAACCATGAAGAGCCACAGAGCCCTAAACCCTAAACCCTAAACCATGAACAGCCACAGAGCCCTGGAGCCCCCTCGAGCTTGCATCTGCCTGGTGGGAGAACTTGATAAACTCAAAGCGCAGGAAGTACCTGGCAGCTCTAGAATCCCTTCGAGCTGGTGCAGGGCTTAGGGTTTGGGGTTTAGGGTCCTCTAGCTTTGGCATGGGAAAATGGCCCAAGACTCAGTTTATAGCCGTCAAACACATGCACTGTCAGGCCGTATTCGAAATTGAAATTGACAGGCGATGAACACTTCGGCACAATAGATGCCAAATCCGATGCTATGCTGCAGTATGTGTGCTGACCAGGACTGCGGCAGTGTCCCCATGAAGGTATATGCGGGGTGCACCATGCCATCTACCAGCAGCACGAAGAGTGCCACTGCTGAGTATAAGCTTCGGATTGTGGTTCCCTAACCCCCAGGTACCTACTATAGAGGGCACTAGAGCCCCTAAAGCCCTATATAGTAGGTACCTGGAGGGTTAGGGGCTTACGACGAAGGCTTTCGAAATCCACGCGACCCATGTTCACCCTAAGAAGCGCCTGCTGACGGCATTCATGATCAGGGATTTAGCTTTTAAGCTACCATAATAGGCATCTATAGTAAATAATAGGGATCTATAGTAAATAATAGGGATCTAGAGTAAGTAATAGGGTTTCCTTGTTATGATTAGCCAGGTTTTGGTTCGAGCTAAGGAAGCTGGTGACTTTCCGGTGGGGGGGGGGGGCACTGGACCAGCAAGGATGCCATGGCAGTAACCTGCAGTCTTCAAAACCCAAGGCCCTATGCCGAGAAGATTCTGGGTCGAAGCTTTGGAACCCTGCTGAAGCCAAACGGTCTTAAGCACCTTCATAGTAGAAAGCGCGGTTTCTATAGTAGGAATTACCTTTATGGTTTGGGCAGGTATCCCCCATACAAGTACTTAGGACCCTTTGGGAAAGTGAAGACGACCAAGAACAAGGGGTGCTCTGAAGCGCTCGGACCCTTTGCCCCAAGCTTGCAAAGTCAGAGCCCAGGCTTTATTGGGGTTTAGGGTTTAGGGATATACGACTTAAGGTTTAGGGATTTAGGGTTTAGGGATTTGGGGTTTAGGGATTTAGGGTTTAGGCATGTCGGGTTTAGGGCCTTAGGGGTTTAGGGTTTGGCGTATAGGTTCTGGGTCTTCAGGTTTAAGGCTTGAGATCTGGGGCTTTATAATACTGGGGCCTGAAGAAGTAGAATAGGGCTTTCCGACGTTTTTCTAGGATATGTATAAGTATAACAAGGAGCCGTTAGGAATAGTATTCCTTAATTTTTCAGGCTTCTATGCTATAGGTGAAGCGCTTAGGCTGAGTCCATG